TGGCGCCAGAGAAAGAAGAAGATTCAGAGGAGAAAATAGCATTAAGATGAAGATGGCAAAAAAGTAGGAATGAAAAATGGGAATAAAGCATGGAAGGTGGCTCATGCACGAAGGAATGGGAGTGAGAACATTTCCATGAGAAAGTCGGTGTGCGTATGTGCTAGTACTTTGGTGAAATATTCACTGTGATAGAAGACTTATAGAAGCAAAGTCCCATCCCTGGAGAGAGGGAAGAGAGGAACAGAAGGGAGGAAGAGCAGAAAGGAGGAAGAGAGAGGAGCAGTGATTGAAGTTTTGGATAAGCGTCATAAGACTGAAGACCATTTCAACAAAGAGGTCTCTGCTGTGAAGCTTCGTGTAGGACTGTCAGGGCCCTCTCTATTTTTAAACTGTGTGTGGGTACAGTATACTGCTCACACCTTATAGCATCCAGTACGTTTGTGGAACTGAATGGAGGCTTATGTTGAATTTTCTACAGGGTTGTTAGTTGAGGAGAAAGCAGTCTCTCATTATCAGGTAATGGTCCTGAAATGGAAGTTCTCTTTTCACTGGCCCCATTCATGGGACTCTAGTGTGTCACTGGAGCTGGTGTCTTCACTGAATAAAAGTCCAGATTTGGTTGACACTGATCAACCCAGTTGCCAGTGAAATATGTTTATATCCTATTCATTTGCTTTGCCAAATCCACTTAAGTAACTGCCACCTGGATTACATTTATTTGTTTCACAGAAAGTTGGCTGGGGAATGCACATAGGTATATGCAAGGAAGTGCAGGATTCTGACATCAGATGCCTGCTAGAGTTATGCTACACAAACAGTTAAGGTTTGCCTACAAACACTGAAAAAGCTACTTTGTCAGTGGTGGCTTTTTGGCCACACTAGCACATCGCTCTAGTAATGACAATGTCAGTCAGTCAGTCAGCTGTACATAATTTTGTACACATATTCATGGTTCTTCTACTATATTATGGATTTTGATGATCTCCCGACGGATAACACATTTTTGGTTTTAAATGAAATTGGCTGCATTAGCATGAAACAAACATTGGTGTCTTCTTCAGAATGAATTTCATTTTTTGTGATCACTTAGCTTTTGATCTATTGCTGCCATCAGATTAAAATTAAAATGAGGTTTATGATCAATTATATACAAAACTAATTATATTCTTCTCAACCTCAGCTGTACTTCATGTTTAGTGCGAACTAACAATTGTTAGCATGAAGATGTTAGCATTTAATTCAAAGCACTGTTGTGCCTACAGCGCAGCCTCAAATCTGCTAACATGGCTAGTTTTTCATCTCAAGGCTTGAATGCTTGAGCTGACAGCACCGATACAATAATCTTTCCATAAATGTAAGTTGGTGCCAAGTAGCAGATGTTTTCCAGAACTATAACAATTTGGATTGACTATTACAGGAACTATGTTGTTTCCACAGTGGCCCCTACATTCAACCTTAAGAACTGCAGGCTTTAAATTTAATCCCCTGCCCCTGTATGACAGGGACTATGTGTATATACTCCGTAATCATGGACACATAAAATAGAATAAAATAAAATAAAATAAAATAAATGCTGGCTTACCCACAAACCAAAAGGTTCTATAAATACAGTGTGGAGGTAATGTTTGTCGTGTAAAGTAGGCGGATTAACTGGAACCAGGTCAGAGCAAAGACAGACCATGCTCTAGCTTTTCTCCTATGTAACTGCTGTTCTTGCCACCTTTCTTGCTATTGCTTTTCTAGCTCTTTTATTTATTTTGATTAGGCAGATGGGGTAGTGATTATCTTCTCCAAGCCTACACAATCCTGCACTGCCACTTGTTTCCTCAGCTTCTCATACCATGTCCCTTCAAAGGCAAGCGTAGAGACCCCCTGTCACTCTTTCTGCAGGTTTTGAATTGTCCATCAAGCTAATGCTGATACATTCAATACTCCATACAAGTGTGTAGTCAAGTGTGCATTTTAATTACAAATTGTATTTTTACTGTTATAAGGGCACAAACTATACACTCTGGCCATGGCAAAAATATCCGGGACGGATTTTGACTGTTTATCACCAATGAAACTGTAAACTTATGTTTGTGCTTCATGAATGAGTACAAGGAACAAAACTGTCTAGTGCTGCATCAGGTAGCAGTTCTATTTCTCTATTCCTAAAAAGAAAAGGCCACGTTTTCTGCTTTGGAAGCATGTTTAGATCCTGTCTGTGGTGCCTAAGCTATACCTGTACAGTGTGCTTAAGCATCTGGTTTAAAATGAGTGATCAAATGAAGAAATCAGTGAAAGACTTTTGAGACCTAACACATCCACTACAGTCAATACCTTTCACTACCTGCTTGTCTCTTGTCTTGAATGTCATACATGGCTAGATGCATTGACACAATCAATGGGATGCTTCTGTACAGAAATAATAAGAGTCAGCAGAAAAGAGCCAGGAAGAAAGGGGGAGTAAATAAAAGGCAAGGCCCAGAGGGAGGAGATGTGCCAGGATCAGAGGAGGACAGGGAAAAGCTTGAGTTTTATGCGTCTGCAGTGCAGTCATCTTTCACCTGTATCTAGCAAAGATCTTGGCTTACATAATACAATGTGAGGATAAAGCGTCCTTTATGACAAGCTGGGCCAATAAATCCAGATCAGTTCTGACCTCTTTTAGTTCCTTACATCTCCTCTTCTATGTGGTTATCTTTGTTGTAGTGCAGCCATCAGAATTCAGCTTCTGAACTCTCTACAGCCCAGAAAGGTTTTCTGATTCTGTTAATGCTTGTTGAAGGATCATCACAGAAGTGAGGCCTACATATTCATCTCTTGAATCAACCCATGCATTCAATCAAAGTGGAAAAAGTGGAGACACTTAGTGCTTCCCCGCTGGTACCATGAAAAAAGCATTGGAAATGTACTTTGCTTCCTGTATCTGTCTCCCTCTACACTAGCCATTCCCTCTTGTGCAAAGTCCCTGCCATAATTATTCTCAATTAAAAAGTGCTGTGCAGCAGCTGGCCTTCAGCTGCTATTCAGGGGAACAGCTTCCAGAAGATGAGGAGATGTAGCTTTGGCAGCTATCATTACGATCGTATAGAGAGGCATAGTTGAACAACTGATGAAGAAGCGGCTTGGTGGATCCATCTTTACAACAGCTTGGGGTGTTACATAAGGGGTGATGTAGATGGGGCTGGTTGGGGAATAACAAATGATAAGTCCCAATGACAAATATAACGAGCAAGCAATAAGTGAGAGCTTCACATAATGACACCTCTGATACCTAAACCATAACTTCCTTTGTGCTTCTGTTTTTTTTTTTTCGTTTCATCCTTACAACAGGATTACACTCAGCTGTATGTACAGTATGTTATGGGTTTCATTTGTACCTTTTATGCCAGTTTCTGCTCTGTGTCCTACAGTAGCTCTGCTGGCCCAGATTTTAGCCCAGTTTTAGCACTTTCTTGCTGAAGCCAAACAAATGTTGACCCAGTAAAGCCAAGTGTTTTGAGTTTGGACCCGTCTGGACCAGCATGAGGAAAAACCCCAATTAACAGGTGAGTGGACTCAGTTAATATGAAACTGGGCCAGGCAGACTATGTCAGTATATGGCCTCCAGAGGGCTATTTGGAGTACTGAAGACTACAGTTGGGTTTTACTGTCTCCTCCTCTCCTTTCTGTTCCTAATTCCTCTCCTACATAAGACCACTACAGTCATTCACACAGCAATCAACTAAAGACAAAGGTAAATGAGATGGAGATGGAGATGGAGAAAAGATGACAAAACAGAGGCACAGGGAAGTGAGAGATGTGCTGAAAAGAAGGAAAAATGTGAAAGAGAGGAAAAAAGGCTGAGATGAAGCGCTGGGAAAAGTGTGAAAAGATATAAGTGAAGGAAGAGAGGAAGATGAGGGGAAAATAGAGAAATGGCAGATGAGGACATCAAGACAGAGAGGGCAGCATATACAGGCTCTGGTAATGAATGCCACTTTCATGAAGTACTCTTTCTGGCTCTCTATCTCCATTGCTCTTTTTTCTGTCTAATTTATCTTTTCTTGATCCTCTCCTTGTTTGTCCATTGCTTCAAGTCTCCCTCTTTCCTCTAACACGAGCCACAGGGATTGGATATTTCATTACTAATTCATTGTTTCTTCCCATATATGTATTGACAAAGCTTTGAATACTGGTTGATTCAGTATCCTACAACAAAGTTCAGAGAACCATCTTTTATCTTAATGATTAAGCTGCTTCCAACTCCCGGTTATGGAAGATTCTCTCTGTCTTTTTAACTCCTCTGCTCAGAAGGTTTTACAGCATATGTCAGAGAATAGTGAGTAAAGTTTTGCAGTCAGTAGCTACTATATGCTTTCTTATCCAGCAATTTGAACTGAACATTTGAAACACCAGAAAGAACTCAATCCCGGCCGGCAATCAGGCGAAGGCGGGGTACACCCTGGACAGGTCGCCAATCCATCGCAGGGCTATTTATTTCATGTGCTAAAACCTGTTAAGTAGAAAGAAAGCAGTATTATGGGGATGTCACTGACATTCACCCCCATTCACCTTAAAACTAAAGATTAGTTGCATAAAAATGATTTCAAACCTTAGTTATTAAAGAGCTGTCATCCAACATGGCATTACAGCAAACTGTGATTGCATTCATGTGCTTATGTGTATGCAATGCTTTGTGAAGAACCATCACACCTTGGTCTAATGTTGAGCTGCAATAATGAAGATTTCATGAGTTGAAATGTTCCCTTGTGTGCTGGTACATGTTGCCTGTAGGTACCGGACTTATTGGTAGAATCTGATTCATTGCTTTAATCAGAGTTTGTAGTTATGTGGTTTCTCTACAGTTTGGCTCTGATATTTATTGCCCCACAGCAGCAGTGCTAGTGCAAAAAAAAAACAAAAAAAAAACAACCTTTTATGGTGTGTGTGCACATGTAAGTGTGTTTGTGAGACAGAGCTGGTGATGTTGCTGTGTGTTATTGGAGTAACACATGTTGAATTTCTTTCATTACCTCTGCCGGTGAAGCTGGTCGGTGTGTGTTCGCCCCTCTTTCTCTTTCTGTCTGCAAAATATTTCAGAACATTACATGTGAATTTGGCTGAAATGTGGTGATCAGGGATCAGCTGATTCTAATTTGGCAGTGACCTTGAACAGAGATTCCTGCCATTGTAAATTTGTGTAGGTTTTGTAGCTTTAATTGTAATGTTGATTTAAGTAATACTGGGAGGAGTTTGGCTTTAAATAAAAATACAACTACATGGCAACTTTGTTGTGCAGCTGAGAAAGGTCAAGCAAAACACTGGACATATACAGTAAGCTACTATATTAGGACTGCCAATCACATACACACACACACTGTAGGTTCTAGCACTAATCTCTAACTGTACAGATATCCTAGTAGACTAGGAGAAAGAAAGTATGTTGCACGTTGGGGGGTTCAGTAGGGGACAAGGGATCAGCTGCAGGAGACAGGGAACAGATGACACAGGAGTGTGTGAGAGCAAGATTGCAGAAGATGAGTAAGGAAGGCAGGACATGAGAAACCTCTGGCACCAAACTCAGTTAAGGGGAAAAAAAGCAAACATATGTTGTGTGCACAGTTTATCCTGAAGCTCATCCTTATGTAACATAGGTGGCATGTGTGTGGAAATAGGCAAGATTTGATTTACAGTATTTTACCCTTGGCACTGTGGCTCCACTGTCTATCCTATGAGTCCATAATTTTTTCATCTAGATCAATGTTTGCCACAAATGTTGCCAAATCCTTGACAACAACAGTGTTATCTCCAAGCCCCTGGGGCACATGAGGATCATTACAGGCCACTAAATGTGGTGGCAGTGAGTGAACACTGTGTCACATTACACGGAGGGTTTGAAAAGTCATGTTGATGGATCGATACACCTCTTAATCTCCTACAACCACCATCTGTAACCTATCCTGGCTGCTGTGATGGAAAATCTCTCTGGCTGTAGACATGGTTGCAGACTGCAGCAAAATCTCGGACTCTGTTCTCTGTGCCTCAGCAACCGAAGCTCAACGGGCAACGTTCCCATTCAACTACACAAGAATCAGAGGATGTTCACTACATCCATTGTTAACAGCTATTATAGCTAGCATAGCATTAGATTATAATGGGATATTGATGCCCGCATTGCACCAGATACTACACAAACCTGGTTTTAGATTTCCTATTGATGAAATCATAAATCTGTAAAAGTGACTGTTAGCTGCTGGGGTGAGACCAGATATGCTGTGCTCGCTCTCTCTCTCTCCAGCATTAACCAACCGTACTAATGTACAGTCAAACAGCTTCTCTATATTTAAGGTTTTCTGTTTTAACTATTACATTTCCTTAACATTTTCAGTTCAGACTGAGTCAACTCAAATAAATACTGTATGTGGGCTGATCATGACCACCAATAATACTACTGTAAACCTGAGTATCACTTGTCCATCCTCATTTTCCTCCTGCTTTTCTATCATAAAGGCATTACCTATACCTGAAACATTCAAACTGGTGAAAGCATTTAACTGAGTTCAATACATGGGAATGTTAACACTCTAGCACATCTACGTATATATCCTTGATTACACAACCAGTGGCACCTGAAGGATTATATTTTATAGTACACACAAGAAGCACCTACAGCAGCGTAATGTCACCATGAGAAAAAATGTTTGCTATAATGAAAAACTTTTCTCATTCTAATGTAATCCTGTATTTTCTTGATACGACATACAGTAGGCTATTGGAGTGAGTGACAGCAGCGCAGCAGGACCTGCTTAGCTCATTCAGTTCAGCAACGCCCAGCATTACTACTGTATTAAGTGGTGCGCTGAAGGTGGTCCTTGAGAAACACAGATCTGACACTTGAATCCATGCACAATAATTATCCCACAAAATAACATATAAATGCAGGTCAGGAGCAGTAATACACAGAAAATACCCTGCACAATTCCTGATGATGTTACAGGCATTGACAGCAGATAAAGTCAGTGCGTGCACTGCTGTCACTCACTCCAAGGGAATGACAGCATCATGGTAGGGAGTAGGCTACACATATGATATGCTCCAGGGGTGTATGATATGATATGAGATTTATCTCCTTGAGCCACAAATTTGAAACTATATTTCTATATAGGCTTTAGCCTATACTATATGTTGATCATGATTGTCAGATGGAAAATTTGAGCAAAATCATTAAAAAAAGGGGGCATGCACAGTGCATACAGGATTACAGCCGCAGGCACCTTGTGCACAGCCACACAACTGTGTCAGCATTTTTTAATTTACTGAGTAAATCCACCTGGTAAATTAAAACTGTATAAAACTACTGAACCAATCATCTGAATGACAACTAATTTTTTTGTCAGATAGCAACATTTTCAGAAGATTCTCACAGAGCAAAAACCTGCACCAAAGCTTCATCTCATCAAAATTTAATTTTATAATATTTTTATATATAATATAAAAATATTTGCATTTGTAGTAGTGATAAATAATCATGTGATACCTGTTTAAGATTCAATAAGTGCAGTAGGTCAAAACAGCAAAAATGTAAATACAAAATAAAAGAACAAAGAATAATACACAATCAAAAAGTCTTGATGGGGATAAAAGCCAGTCAAAAGTGAAATTGTCTACATTATTATTTTATGGTAAGATGATTTACAGTCTATCCTCCATCCATTATCATCCTGCTGGTATACTTCATCCTCCACAGGTTTCTGACTAGCGAGTGCACATCAGGTTTCAGTCAGTTGAAAATCTGCAAAATGAAGCCTGGACTTTTAAAAGTCAGCAGGCTTAAACTGAGACAGATGCAAGTTATAACCTCAACTGCTATTTTCATTTTCAGAAAAATGCAGTACAGTACATGCACACCTGAACGCGCACACACACACACACACACACACACACACACACTGTATATCACTGAAAGCACCTTTGTTTCATTATGTGCGTACAGTGTCGACTTGTCAGTTATCTGGCTTGTCCAATGAAATCCAAGGATGCCAGGTTTTCTGCCATGAACACTAGAGTACAGGGTGAAAAAACACAGGATTGATTTGAAAGCCTTTTGTCCTTTAGGCTGCAGCCTTTCCACAAACTCTAAATGAGGTCTCGAGAGATGAGTTCAAACACAAAACACTGCAACTCGCAGGCTGACTTAAAGGACAGTGGCTACAAAGAAAGCGGAGGGAGACTTCTAGATAAGAACTGCAAGGATGGATGCAGACTGAAGCAGATAGCTATACAGGTTACACAAAGATGCACCGATCCCGTTGAAACCATCATGTGGCAGGCATATTGTGAAGATGACAGTTCAGCAGCCAGGTGTGAACTGCGAGAGATGCAGCACCTGAAATGTTGCCTGACAGAAGGTTCTTCACACCTTGTTACATAAAATCTGCATGAGCTTTTCTTTGCCACATACAGGCTAAAAGTGACTGTGGCTGGAAATACAGAGGAGCTCTCACAAGTCAAATGAGATAAATATGTGAGCAAACCCCTTTTTATCACTTCCAGCCTCTATTCTGCCACCACTTTGTCTGCTTTTTTAGTTCAGCAACCTCTTTAATCTCCCTCTCTCGCTCTCTCTGGGGTGCACTAGTGTAGTTAGCCTACACTAGATTTTATATGATGTTCTCGCTTCACTCCTCTGCTCTCCTGATTTATCAAATTGCACAAATACAAAGCAAGTTAATGAGGTTGTTGGGGATGCTTTCCTAGCAAAAATTAAATATGATATACCCTTCATTGTTTAACAAACAGTTAATCAACAGGGATATGTTGCAATTAAATTATTCGAACTTTAAATGTACCTTTGGTTTCTATTGCTCTATCACTAACATCATGCTCTAAACATACTGTGGCCCATACATTAAGGGCAGACATTTCTGTAGCCTCAACAACCTCATGTTTCAACATTTTAGTTCCTTGTGTTATCAGTTATTTCAAATGGCTGTTTACTGTAAAAGGTAATAGCACCTGGCTTGGTTCAACATAAGCCTGTGGTCAATATGCTGAGCTAGGATGGAAAAAGGAAAAGTGGCTGGTACTGCTGGACTCTTTAATGCATACTTAACAAGTGAATAAGTGAAAAAGCTCCAGCTGGGAGCAGCTTCACAGAACCAGCCAGTGATGGGAAAAGGTGTGTGCATGAAAATGTAAACGCACTGCTTCGCTTTTGATTCAAATAAGACCAGTGATTCTTCATAACTATTGCAAGTACAGTCAGGGGAAGTCAATGGTGCAAATTAAGTTGACCAGCTGTAACTGGGAGTCGCTTTGGGAGGAGAAAAATCCTGTCACTAAGTGTTAGTGACTACTGCTGCGCAGAAAGGCTGGAAGTATGAGGAAATTAGACTACCGTTTGGCTATAGGCTAAAGAGGATATAATATCAAAGTTCGGTAGGTTCGTTACAATAGACTGACGATTTATCAGCACTAACAAATTCAACAAGTCAGCTGTTATCAACTGCATGGCGTTTATTCTGACACAAGAAGAGATACTACTCACTTTGCGAGGGCTTGCTCTCTTTATATGATCTGCCTGTATCAACTGGAGATTTTCACTGCAGCTGTTTTACGCACGGTGGCAGGACAGCGCACACCAAGCAACACGGCAGAAAACATTCCCTTTATCTCTTCATCGACTGCTGTCTACCGCCAACCGGGATCAAATCAAGATGGTAAAGCAAAATGAATTCTCCACGCTTGAGTTTACGGCGTGCCTTACCTTGAGTTGTCGCGGCTCCGGAGAAGTGTGGGTGCGTGTGTTTGCGCCACCCTATCCAAAGTAGAAACTCTGGTCCTACCTGGTACCTTGATTGAAACAGGAAAAATAACGCCAGTAACGTTTCTTTGTTGATGCACAAAAACCGCCAGAGAGATTAACTAACCGCAGCTCCTGCTCTGACACGACTGTTCTTCGATGAGAATTAGTTTGCTTGTTTCTGACTGCCGCTTTCCCTCCCACTCCCACTCACTCACTCACTCACTGTCTCCCACCAATGAGAGAAAAAAAATCTTTCATCTCTCCCCCTGTGTCTCTCTCTCTCATCCTCTCTCTGCAGGTGGGCATCTTTGAATAATGTCAAATCATTAATAAAGGCTGTCCGAATGTGCCCCCTCTCCCCAAACCGCACATATTTTTATGATTAAACAAAATTGTTTGTGTATGTGTAACAGTTGCTCAGGCTGTCCGGAGTGTGTAAGCAGTGGATTGGGAGTGGTCGGGATTAAATCGTGGGATTATACCTCAACATTCATCATTTCATCTGGCACACTGGAAGCACACTGGTGGACAATGACATCAGTCTTTGGCATAGGCAGACAAACAGATTCATGTGGGTAGGGATGAAGAGAAAGGCACCAGAGAAGAAAAAAAAACAACAAAAAATGATAAGACTGGGGAGAGGAAATCTTCCACCTCTGATCCACATAAATCTAAAGCTTCATGCAAAACCCATAAAACTGCTGTTATAGTTCAGAAGCGGTCAGCCAGATATTTCCTGGGTGAATGGTGCTGCATGCTGCCCTGTGTTTGTATTTTTGTGTAGTGGATTCATACACATAGCCAAGTTAGTTTATGTGTGACTGTGTACTGACAGATGGCCACTAATGACGCAGAAACTAACTACTGGGTTTCTGTGTCTGTGAGGTTGTATGCCCATGCACATGCCTATTAGTCGACTGTTACTGTGTGTTGTATTGTTGAAGTTGATGCAGACGCAACAGATATCTCATTCTGTTTACCAGCCTTCTATGAAACCTCTCCTTTTCTAACTCACACATGCACATATCCTTGCAATCGTCACCTACAGGGTCTGTACATAGATTTACATTAATTTCCAGGAGACCTGAACCATAACTGCTATTTGCCTAACCTTAATCAAAGCCATCACTTGCTCTAACCTTACACCCCATCATTTTTGTTAAATTAGTCATGGGGCCCGGCCTCTGGTCCCTGCAAAGCACTGCTCCCAGAATTCTGTCCCCACAAATACACTGTATATAAACAATGCCACACATACTTGTGCTTCTATCTTTGTGAGGACACTTATTGACATAATTCATTCCCTATACCTAATTCGAATCTCAACCCTAAAACCAAGTCTTGGGGTGGCTGTGACTCAGGAGGGAGAACATGTTGTTTCCCATCCAGAACATTAGTGGTTCGATTCCTGGCTTGTCCAGTCCACATTTCAAAGTGTCCTTGAGCAAGGCACTGAACATCCAGTGATGTTACCGGTGTGAATATGGGAGTGTTCACACCCAAATAGGGTGTGAAAGTGCTTTGACTGTGCTGCACTGTATAAAAAAGCGCTATACAATTATAAGACCATTTACCATAATGTTCTCACTCTGCAGCAAAAAAGTACCATTTTGGTCCTCACTATGTAGCAAGTACAAGAACACACACACTCTGTGGAATTATGGTTTTGCCACAGGCGTGCTCTTGTGTATGTCCATGGGAATGCGCTGCAGCAGTGTGTGTGTGTGTGTGTGTGAGAGAGAGACAGAGAGAGAGAGAATAGAATATTAGCATAAAGTCTTACAAGTGGAGGTTTCTGATGGTTCACTGAGTTCACCATCATTACCGTACATACAGGCAAACTGTAACCACAGTGTTCTGACTAAGATACCTTAGCTTATCCTGCCATAAGTGGTAGAATGGGGGAACTATGGTCTTCATTTAACTAAAATCATAATTAATGATACATAGAGACTGATGGAAGGAGGACTCAGATCTTGTCCTTATGGTCAAGTAGCAATACAGCAATGAAAAAATACTCCACTGCAAATATAAGTTCTGATACACAAGCTTGTATTGTTTTTAGACTTTGTACTCAATATTTTTATGACAGTTATTGAAATGAAACTTGTGAACTGTCTCTTTGGTGGTGCTGTTTGTAAGTGGCCACAAGCCAAAAAGTTTGGTTTTATCCTTAACAAATGAAGCTCAAACTAATCATATGTTTTTGTGATGTAAAATCTTAATTTGTTCTAGAGCTGTCAGATAAATGTAGTGGAATAAAAAGTGAAAGGAGCAGAAAACAAATACTCTGGTACTCTACCTCAAGTTTCAACCACTGGTATTTGAATAATCAAATAACATGCACGTCATCAAGCGGTGGATGTTGTTGACAACGCTGCCAAAAGTCTTCTGAATGATCATAAATGGCTGGGAGAGCATTAGTGCAGGATTCCTACAAGGCGGGCAGAGAGGTGTGAGATGACCATTATGTTTCATTATGAATCATCATCCTGAGTCACGGCATTTATAATGATAAGCACTCACCTTCACCTTAGTGAGTGCAGTAAAACTAAGATAGATTCTCTGTTAAAGACCCTCCGCTGCTCCACATGGCCTGTTATCTAGTGAGGCACAGAGAAGAGGTCAACTAAATAGTGCCATTAAAGTGAAACAGAAAGCACAGCTGTTGGGATAAAAGTAAAATGCTTTTTAGCTTTGAGCACTCAGAGCAAACATCCTTGTGCTAAATGTGCCGTTCGGAGCGTCAGGAAGGAGAGCTCAGAGCTCTGGCTCTCCTTCACTCGGTTACATTCTGCTTCCCCTTTCTATCCCCGCTCACACTGTTTTATCTCTGTTCCTTGCCTCTCCCTGCTGTCCCTTTCTGCCACACTTGGCCTTAGCTCAGTGAATATGCGTGTGGTTATATGTGTGTGCACGAGCATGTTTAGATCTGTGACAGCTATTATAAACCTCACAGGCTTGAATAGATTTCCAGAAACAACTGATGCATTTTAATAATTACCATCCTGACTCAAGCACAGTTCTTTGTCCATGCATGTGTGCTTATTACTACAAGCTATCCTGGCACACAGTTGTCTTACATACATGGAATAATGGTTTGGTACATGGATTTACATGCACATTTTTTCCCTTACAGGCTTAATTTAAAACTAAATCTCAAACAGTCTGCAAGCTAGTCTTCTAGCATGCATTTCAGTTTTGGCATCAACTAATATAATACTATTAGGGCTGTAACCATTTACTGCTTTCATTCCCTTGTTGCACAAACATGAATGTGAATGCTTGCACACACAGATGCACTCACTCACCATGTGTTTCACTGGATTGCCTCCCACTTCCTTTTGTCGGAAGCGTGCCCTTCCTCTCTCCGTCTGCCATCCTGTTCGCCCCTATCCTTTCATCTCGTCTGCCCTCTTCTAGCTCATTCCATCACTCATCAGCATCCTTCACTTGCTTACTATCCTTTTTTAAAATTTCTTTCTGCTACTGCCTCTTCATCTTTCTTCCCCATTTGTCTCCAGTCTGTCACTTAACACTCCTCTTTTTTTTTGCTTCTTTTCAATGCCCGGCACTGTTGGGCTGCAGGCCAGCGTGGGTCAGAGACAGGTTGTAATTACTTTACCCCTCCTCTCTGACAATGATAGTGAAGGAAGCAAGAGAGAAAAAGCAAGAGAGAAATAACACAGAGACTAAATACAAAAATAAACAGATGGGTTTTCATAATCAGGGCCAAAATGCATGTATCCCCCCAATTCATTTCTTTTTGTTACTGCTAACAGGCAAACATTAACAAGCCAGGTGCATTTCTTTTATCCTCACAATCATGTTCACATTCATGCAGAATCCTGTCAGTAAAGTTCCAGTTGATTTCCTCTTCTGACAACGTACATGTCTGCACAGTCTGGCATTGAGAAATAAATAATACAGTAATATAGGAAGGCTAGTGTAACATAGGAGAGATGGCCTTAATTGGTGCAGCTATATTTAATTTATAATTTAGGATGGGCAATGCTTCCTTGATTTCAGCTCTGGATTGGGATACATTTGCATATACGTTTAAAAATCAGTAGCAGTGTGAAAGAATTTCTCCAGACATAATTGAATTCAAATGACAAGAAAAACTAAAACAAAGGAAAGTGCTGTGACTTCAGTGGATGTTTTTTCATTAAATGTTTCTTTCATATCAGTCCTGGATCACATTACAGTTTTCCCCCTCACAGAGCGACAGCTAAATGGCAGTGGAACTCATTAGTTTAAGGTTGTACAGACAGGAGTAAGAATTGTTTGAAGCTCTCCAGCTAGATGTATCACTCTGAACACTGTCGGTAATTACCCAGACTCGTGAGGATGAGATGGTTTCAGGTGCTTTTAGGCCAGTTTCCAGATGCTATTCTTATCCTAGGCGATCGATGGTGTTTCTCCAGCTGCCTGGGGGTCACAACTTACTGAGACAAGGGTCACCAATTATGGAGCACCGGTAACTTATATCTCCTTCCCTTTTCAGTAACTAGACAGTTTTTCACACACACACACACACATTATAGGTGTGTAGCTCTTGTACTCATGACTTAAATGGATCCATGCACAACCCAGTAGATTGTTTGCTTTAAAAATAAATTCATGATAGTTTGGATTATGAGTTGGATGTTAAAATCACATTACAAGACAAAAAATCAATAAGAAATTAACAAGTAAATAAAATAAAAAGCATGAATGATGAACAAGTTAAACAATTGTAGTCAGCTGAAAAAATAAAACATTCCTGGCCAAGCTAACATTAAAATCAGAAGAGAGATGCACATGTATGAAACAATAAAATAAAGTCATCCAAAATAAAATAAATACCACTGAGGCAATACTGAAATGAAGGACAACCTAAATGAGCCCTGAAATGGCTTGGAGGAAACACTCAGAGGGGAAGGAATGAGGAAGCGAGCTACTGCACATGTTACTGGTAAGCTAACATCTTCCACAACTAGGTTGATTATTTTAAGCACTGCGAGATTGATTTAGAGGTCCTGTGGGGGCCTTGTGGATCTGTGTGAATGAAAATCAAGGTGCACACAGACCAAAAAAAAAGGAGGGAGAATAAAAGTTAGGACAGTAAAGATCACAGTGAAAAGGGGGTATAGGAGTTGGATAGAGTAGAGAAGAATAGAGGTGGTCTCCAGATTCCTGAAGTTATTAATAAGAGTGTGCCTTCAAGGAGACCAGTGACGATTTAGGTCAAACTATTTCCTGCTCCTCCTGAGTTGCACCAAAGTCACTCAAAAATGGCTCCAGAAATATGTCTCTCTCCAACGTATAGTCTTTGTTTTTAGGGAGCAATAACCCTGGCTGACAAAACATGTCACATTGTTTGACGTCACCTTTCTTTGCC